AAAAAAAAAAAAAAAAAACTTGAATTTGGATATTTAAGAATATTTTTACAGAGAAAATTAAGGCAAACTAATATTAAACTAGAAGTTGTGAAAGATTAATGGGTCCTTTTATAACTAAGAACTGCAAGGCTGTCAGTACTGCCTAAAGGTGGGGATCAGAAACTCAGATTAGGTTTGTAAGTTTAACACCTGAATATTCTTCCAGAAAGGAAAATGAGTGTATATATAATCAAATAAGAATTAAGAGGCTTTAAAAAAAAAAAAAGTTTTAGATCAGAATAAATGGAATTAATTTTGAGGAATTTACGTAAAAACATTTAACTAATGCTAAGGAATTTACTTTCATTAGTGAGTTGATATAACACCTCCCACCACACCCCTAAACCTTAGTATCTGCTGCCCTCAAAGCTGTCCCCCAAATTAGACTAATTTTTGATACTCAGAAATGAAAGACTCAGTTATGTTTGAAATCAATAGGTGGCGCTCTTCCCTCGAGTAGCCCCCAACCACCATTTTCACAGGCTGTGTGGGAAGGTTAAATGCCCCTAAAGGTGCGTCAGTCATAAGACTAAGGATCTGAATTTCATGACCCTTTTAAATGTATAATCATTCGATATTGAACAAACATTTAGTAAGTATTTACAGTGGGTACACTTTTTAAATACTGGTATTCAAAAGAAATACCCTTGTTGATATGGGCTTTTAGGAAAACAGTAAAATAGGCCGCAGTTGGGATGTGGCATCATTCAGATCACGGTCCCTCCTGTCTCTTCATACCCAGTGAGTGCCTAAACACTCCAGGATAAATGTGTTCTTCATCTTCAGTTGTGCAGAAAAATTATACTTCAAATTTTTCATCATCACTTTGTAGATATACTAGATAAGGCCACTTCAATCTTTATTTTAATTTAGACTTTGCACAGTAATATAAGAGCCTGTTGAAATTTTGGGATATTGTATCAGGAGTGGTAGGTAGATTTGAAAATTAAGTTTGAGTTGCATAGACAACTAGTTTATCTTAACACCTTTTTGAAATTCTCTAGGATTAGGAGAATTCCACAGAAGCTATATGGATTCTCATATAGTAGATCAGCAAATACTCCATAGTATACCAAAGGCATACCTATATAAATCCAGAGGTTATTACCAGAAATTGTGTAAATGAGCAGCCTTGTTATATTTAGGGGAGAAAGCTGTTGAGTCTTATTCATAATAAGAAAGGAGCTGCCAAAGTTTGAGAGGTTTCCTGGTAATAGTTACTCCAGGAAGTACTTATGTTCTAAAGTGGTATTTATGAGTTTTCTTTAGAAGGAATTTATTCCCTTGTCTGACATTAACTATATGGTCTTTCCCGTCTTGTGCTTATAGGAAATCTGACCTGCACTGAGTTTGAGTTGATGTGATAAGAGATAAAAGTACAGTATTTTTTTAATCTAAAGCTGATTTCTTTCTTAGAAAATGAGGAAAAAATATTGTAGATGGATTTCTTTGCTGGAATCTAACAGCTAGCTCATATTCCATGAGAAAGGCAGGCCTCGGAATCATTTTTTCCTTCATAGCCTTCTGAAGCTACTTTTTTGATAGGTTCAGCACTTGGAAACTAACCTTTTTTTCTCGCTTCATGACAGCTTAATTCCAAACGTTTACTATTTTCCTTTGTAACATTAAGATAGGACAATTACATTTGACATTAATTTTTGCCTTAACATACGTATTTGTAAGGTAAGACCAAATGGGCAAAGTCATTGCCAGGTGACATTTATGATGTGTAGATTGGAACAAACGTAAAAGGGTAGCAGAGATTAGAAACAGAGTCATAAAAACGGCTTGATTTATAAATGCATTACTTCTGGTGCTTTATATAATGGGATATATTGAACTAAAAAATTTGTATACACAGTGTGTCAGCATTTCTTAGTAACTTTTCTTGAATCGATTTTTAATATCTAATATTGTACAGGTTGGGGAGTTACATTCTTCAGGCCAGCACTATACAGACTGTATAAATTTATAAAATAAATTGAAAAATTCATCATTCCCCTGTATTCAAGACCAAAGCACATAAATGTTAATGTAGGGCTCAGAGGGGAAATATAGTTCGCCTGCATATTTGAGAAAATGTGAAGTCCTTTCAAGAAAATCTAATAAACATAATAATCACAGCCTGCTGACACTGAGGAAAAAGGACCTCATTCGCTCTTTCTCTTATGCAGCGATTTACTGGTCCCTACTGATTTCCAAATTGGATCACTGTAGTAAATTATCCATGCTGGTACCTGTGAAAGTAAGCCCTGGGATCCATATTTGTTTTGTGTTCTGCTTAAATCAGCAAGAATGATAAATTTGATGGTGTGAAATTGAAAGTACCAAGGGCTTGCTTTGGTGATTGAGCAAAATAATGCCTCTACTTGTAATTTATTGTGACCCTTTTTCTCTGTGTGTGCTTTGTATGTCTTAATATTTATTTCAATACAAATTAAGTTGTTTCTTCATCTGTATTGTTATAGCTAAGATTTTATTGATGTAAAAATGAAATTGTGGAATAAAAATCTCTCTGGACTTGAGCAAATTTTAAAATGTTCCCTTGCAAAAGAACATTTATACCTAGAATTCAGCTTTCATTTGAGTGTAACTGCCTTATTGTTAGAATAAGGTAAATTTAGATACACTTCTATTGTCTTTAACCTTTCACAAATA